TCCCAGTTGTTAAGCGAAGTTTTAGTGTCCGGTTGCCTCGGCGGAGAGGGGTAGACTAGGGTGGAGGCATGGTCGTTATGAGTCCGGAAGATAAATGCATTTCAACACATGTTGTTGAAAGTTAATTTTCCGAAAACGCAGCTCATTTCTGCTAAATGCGCATTTGGTTTTCTTTTCCTGCCATTTTCCTTCTTTCCTTCGCTTTTCTTTGGCCCACACTTTAATGCGCGCAAATGTGTTTTTGATTCCTGCAACTGCTAAAGGGAACCGAAGCTAATTCCGAGTACTGGGAAATTGCAGTTAGTTGTGCAGTTATGAATTGTTGTCCAATTATTTCTACCCCCTGCTTAGTTTGCTACACAATATCCTAGTTAATAACTGACATCTAGCTTGATTGTTGCACTTCACTTTAAGCCAAACCAAAGAACTCTCAGACTAATTATTCAGCAACGTCTTGATACTACAGTTTAGTTTATTATACTTCTGTTTGATTTGTGTACTTCTATACTTTTTATTCCTTTATATACATGTGCTCGAAAATGCCCAAAAATTATGCTTAAACTCGTTGCCTTAAATTTTATACATTGTATGCATTTTTTTCCAACTATTTACACTCATTTAACTTAAGCAGTTGGCCAGACGCTTAACCAACTAAAGCTAAAAGCCCCAGAAGCTAAAGGAGAAATGGCAAACGACTGTCCTGAGAGCAGAAACAATGAGCTAAGAGCAGAGGACAAGCGTGCGAGCTGACCTCAAGACTCAGACCAGAAAGCTTGAGCCTTATAAACGGCATCAAATTTAAGTGCTGTTGATATTCCTAATTAATACAGACTCACACACACACACACAGACCAATTGATGCTGTGCATGTGGCAATAAAAGCAATTTGCAAAATTAGAAAAAAAAACTAGACAATGCGCCAGTTGAGCAGAGCTCTCTGTAGTTTTTCGTGTGTGTGTGCGTGTTTGTTCTTTGGCGTATTTCGAATTAGGACATTTTATTATTTGCACAGAAAATGATTGTAGTAGCTACATGCGCAAGCGATTGCCTGCTTTTTATATGAGTGTCAGGGGAGTTTTGGCAGCTGCCGCTGCAACGGGGCGTATGCGCAACGTGTGTGTGTGTGTGTGTGTGCGACAACAATGTGTGGAGCACTCTAAACTTTGGCAACTGCCTGCTAAGAAGCTGGCATTGAACGCTTCAGAACACACTTTAAAGTCCATTAGCGTCGAGTGGCTGGACAAGCAGTAAAGCAGCTACACTTGAAAGCGAAACACGAGGCGTATGCGCAATTTGCAATTTGCAATTTGCAATTTGATTTGAGTCATGCTCTTACCCCGCAAATGCAGCTCAATCTGTCAATACATTTGTATACATATAAGCACACATATATTTAGCACACATACGAACGCCGTTGATATTGCTGTTTTTATTTGCATTTCCATTTTACGAGTATTATTTTATTTTATTTTTGTTGCAGCCAGTGAAGCAAGAAGATCCTATTTTGTGTATATTATGCGCTTTGTGTCAATCGACTGACATCGAATTTTCATTCTTCGCTTGTCAACCAAAAGTATAAACAAAATGGAGTTGCAAAAACTTGTCAAAAGTAACAACCCATTCCGCAACCCTTTCCCAACGAAGCAAAAAACATTTTTGTTCATCTCTTTTATGGCTCCGAATGTTGTTTGCTTTTTATGGGCACAGACGAGACGGGGAGATGGCAAAAAGATATCCAAGAAATATAATATTGCTGCAAATTATCACACTACATTGCTTATGGAACGTTTTTACGGTTTTTCTACGACATAGATGCTCTCTTTGCAATAAATTCATAATTTATTATTAAAGAGCAGAGATAAAGAATTATTCAAAGATTTTAGTAAAATAAAAGAAAGTCTTGACAATGAATTGCAAATAGTAATGACTGCGGCAGATTCTTTTGATTAGTTTTTAATTGCAGCTTGCAGAACTCCATTTGCAGAGCATAGAAAAATATTTAAAAATAATATACATTGTGGAGAATATTTAAATGTGCCATGTATGCATATTATATATATTAAATATATATAACTGAAAAAATTGTATATACTAATTTTAAGAAATTTTATTTAGCAGCACTTGATATTAATATTTTGCTTACATTTATTTAAAAGCTTTAGATTTTAGTCAGAATTATAATATCATGTAATTTTATCATAAATCATTTTGTTTCAGTTTCAGATGAGTGAGCCGCTCCCCCCTTAATTTCCAAATTCTTATATAAAAACTTATATCTATTGCCTGAGGCTCCCACGACGTGTAATTTGCTCTCCCGCGACTCACTTGACAGCATCAGAGGTGGTCCTCAATACCGTGTTCATGCTTGTAAGCATCAAGAGTCACTTAGAGGGTAACTCATAGTCTCGTTGCCTGCAGAGAAAGCAGTTCGTTGCTGTCATAATTATTTAATTAAAACTAATTACGATTCAAACTCCTCATGACAGAGCCGCCCGCATTCCACACTTAATTTTCTATTATATATAATCAATTAGCTTCATTACCCCTGACTCACACGCAGAGACATTTATAATTGAAACATTGTTATGACTGCAGCAATCAAGTTAAAGTACTTAAATAATACGAATATCACATTTGGAACATGCCAATCGAATTAAGTTAATCCAATTTGATGGCGTCTGACAAGCAGCTGAGGTTCCGACCGAGTGTGTGTGTATGGCAGGTCGTTTTGAATGTCGTTGGTTTCGAGGAGAAGCGTCTAATGTATTTAGAATCCTGGATGTCATCAGTGTCGAGCCACTAACAAATTTCCAACAATGAAAAAACAATGGAAACACGATTTGCCATTCTGCCGGAAATCTTCGATAATTTCAAATAATCCACACACAGACACAGAGCTGAAGCTTGAATGGAAGTGCTGATTCAATGCTGGGCCCGCGGCAATGTCTCAGACAATCAGCGCCACAGACAAGCAACAAGCAACAACAAAAACGAGAACAACAAGCGGAAGCCAAGGACATAAAGTGTCTGCGGTCTTTGTGGGTCCGCGCAGGATCTGCTGCGAACTTGACTGAATGAGCAACTGTATGTATAGACGACGCGCTGCTTGCACTGGGTTAATGTCAGTGCGACATTAGAGACGACTGACAAAGGGGACTATAAAATGGGAGAAACTGTGCTGCCTGCTTGTGTGAGCATTGGCATTGCGAGGCCAAGGGCGTCGGCTCACAAAGTAAGTAGAAAACTTTCGCCATTTCTTGTAAAACACACACGCACACTCACACACAGAACTTTTAACATCTACTGTCAATTGACGTTATTGTTGTTGATGTTGTTGTTGTTGGAACAAAGTTACAAGCAGCATTTGAAACTTATCGTCGTCAAAGTCAAAGTCGCCGCAGCCGGCGCTACGGTCGCCAGTGCGTATGAGTAATTTTTATGAACTCAACCTGAATGCAATTGCTGGCTCTATGCTTCGGTCTGCCTCAAACAATTTAGTGCCAACATTTTCATTACATATTTCCTTCCATTACGACCATTTATATTTGTCTGCAGCGTTCAAAGGCCTCATTTGCCTCTGACCCGTTTTTTTTGCTCTCAACTTTTGCATTTGTGTCTGCCCCTGAAATTAATTGAATTATGCGTCCACTTTAAGACACAAATTGGACTTGGGGCCGTTTCTACTAGATGATACTGCGATGTGCTTGATTTCATTACTTTACTGAATCTAATCTTTAAGTCATTTTGAATATAAAATGTAGCCCGATGTGAAATAGGCTTGGTCTTGCGATGTAGCTCTGGGATCTCTGGAATCTAAGAGTATATAGATACAACCTACATATGTATATAGATGATAATAAATCGCATGTTGTATGTCCGGAAATTCTGTTGAGCAATTGGCGCAGCTTGCTATAGAGAACCTTAGTATCTGTGGAATGCACAGTTCACATTACTTGCAACGACTTGTTGGATTTAAGTGTGAAGGAATATTAGCTTGAAGATATGCATATGACAAATCTGAAAAGTTTTGCAGCCACTTGGTGCAAATAAAGTTTTATTTAAATTTGTTTCCCACAAGAAACTTTTGCAGTTTCTGTGTATGAGTATGCTGTGTGTGCGTGTGGGCGTGGCAATCTTTTTGGTGTGCAAAGTGCGGACGAAGACATGAACTTGTGACTTGAGGCTGCATTGTTTGATTGTGGCTTAGGCATTTCTTTTATGCCGCTGCACATTTTTGCCAGCTAATTGTGTGTGTCCGGGCCAAGTGGAAGGATGCGTCAAGAAATGGCTAAGCCATCGAGCACACAAAGCTGAAGAAATGCACAAAGAAGGGAAGCGCGCATCAAGCCATAAATCACAATGGATACATGCATAAATTATAGCCCGGCGCACGAGAGCTGGCGCTGTGCTCCTCTAGCAAGAAATCAAATTGGACAAAAAAGGGTTGTGAAAACAAAACAGAGTGGGAGAAAGAGAGAGAAAGACAAGGCGAGAGACGGAGAGAGAGCGAGCAATAGAGCAGAATGAAGCAATGTTTAAGGATTTAACGAGAAAAAATCGCTGTCACGCAGATGCTGGACGCATCGTTTTAATCAGTGGGCGACAGCCACAACCTTCCCCTTCCTTCTCAACCTGCTAGTCCTTTCCAGTTTTCCGCTCCTGCCTCAGTTGCGACTCGTAATATTTTGTCCGGGCCAAAGTCAACAGTCGGCACTTGGATTGCGTGGCAGAAAGAAGACAAAGCGCGACAAGTAAAGCAGCGGAGTTGAGGGGTTGTTTAACAAGAGAGGCGGTAAAATTTACATTGGCGCTGCAAAGTATGCAACGCATATTTTTACTCCACTTCTGTTTGCTGCGCTCGGCTCAGTGGACCAAACATACCCAATACCACAGAGCCCACACCAGCCCCAGCCAGCGTTTTCGCATTTTCTCATTTCGTTTTATTTGTGCCCAACCACCGCATATATAAATATATATTTATATATATATATAAGGTATATTTACAGCTGCTGGCCCTAACGCTTAAGGCAAGTTGTGTGTCCAGCAAACATATTGTTTAAATGTTGGGATTTATAACAAATATACTTTTTGTTCAAATGCGAAAGTTGTCAAAGGCAAATGCATTTCCGATTGATTATTAATTAATTTGATTGCTGGCGAAACACTGACTGAAAATAGATGTCAGCCTCAAATGCAAGACTCATTGAATTTCGGCAACTTCTCGATTTCAACGCCAACGATGCGAAGGACCTGCTGCGAGGCGAAAATGCCCGTGCGTATGCAATAGTCGAGCGGCATGTGCTGGACCAGCTGTGAGAGGAAGCCGCCCACAAAGGCATCGCTGCAGCCGTTTGTGTCCACAATCAATTTCTTGTCGATCGGTGGCACCGGATACTCGAGTAGCTTGTCGTTCTCCTGGAAGAGAATCACTGGGCAGTTGACATCAGTGATCATGACAATGCGTGGACGACAATTATACTTGGGCAAACGTTGCAGCATTCGCCCCACTTCAAAGATGTTCGTGGTATTCCAATCGTGCGTATTGGCATAGGCCAACGCCTCCTGCTTATTGCAAATGATCAAGTCAGAGTATGGCAATGCATCGTCTACGTGATTCTTGTGTGACTGGAGCACAAATACGGCACTGAAATTGAACACAAAGAAGCGATTCGAATCGCTCGAGAGCTTGGCTACGCGAACTACGCTTTGCGGGCTGACGGCTAAAAAAAAGCCGGTGGCATAGAAGAACTGAGCCTGATCCAGCAGGCAAACATTCTCTTCAATATCTAACCAATCTTCACTGAAGAGCGCCGCGGCGCCGAGATTGGCGACCAGAGAGCGATCCGTATCCGATATGATGATGGCACAGGTGCCAGTGGGCAAATCTTCTTTGATTTGGTAGCGGGTCTCGACGCCATCCGACAGCGCCCTCTTGGCTATGATGTCCCCGAATTTATCCCTGCCCACCGCCCCTAGGAACGCAGCCCGAAAAGGCTGGCCCACTATCCACTGAAAGATGCGCATGGAGTTCTGACAGGCGCCACCCGCCGAGTACTGCACGAACTCTTGAGTGGTCAGTTCCTCGAAGAGCGGTAAATGGCTCTCCTCGGCTATGATGGCTGCATTGGCACTCAGATCATACTTCTCGACCAGCGCCGCGTCCTCCACAGTGGTGGTGATGTCCAGCAACGGGTTTCCAAAGCCAACTAGAACGTACTCCGGTAGATCCATTGGTTCCTTCTCCCCTCTTCTAATTCTCGCGTAAATGTCTTTAGAGCTCTTACCAATAGCGGTCGTCCCTACCAAGCTACTCCCCCCTTTCAGTATACGGCTGGTCCAGTGTTTAGCTGCTGGCCCCTTAAGCACTTGGCAAACCTTGTTCAAGATGTATGCGCGGAAACAATTCATAACTTAGTCTTATGTTAGCAACAAACCAATTTAACGCGCATTGTTTTCACGAAATTAGGGGGAAAAAGAAAACACAAAATTTGGACCTACCGAGGGAGCGCCTAGCCAACAAACGAGTTAATTCAGTTGTAACCCTGCATTGATGGAAAGTCCAAAGTATACTTTTAAACGCTTACTATATCTTTTATTTTTTTATTTATATTTATATATAAATATATTTATTCTGAGATCATCTAGCGAAGTCTGCATTTCTCATTGGAGACGCTCATTTAGGGTCATCAAATATTCGCTCGATTGATTGATTGATTTTCCTGCACTCATTTCTTCATCATGAAGTTTTCTACAGGGTATGTCTTAGTCGTGGCTCTGCTACTTGGCAGCTTTAATTACCCGCATAAATCAATCATGTTATATTAATGGTCGGTCCATTTAATATGCTATTAATTACATTTGCATCTTGTCGTGCATTTTTATATGTAATTTAAGTGCTATTACAACGGGCACGTAGTCCAGCAACGAAGAGCGGGTGGGGCACTGATGGTGCCTCGCCATTTTTTTCCTACTTCTGGCTGCCGACGAGGTGTGAGCAGTTTTATTTCCATTTGCACAGAGTAGGGGGTGGGTGGTAGGTATTCCTGGTGGGACAGGGAATTGAGCGTCATAATAAAAATGTACGTCTTGTCAGCTGCTGGCGTCGCGTTGCGCTTGACGAGCTGGGGACGCAGTTGCGGCCGCCCGGAACGTCCTTGCCACGAGTGGGTGTTGCATGGCGCATGAAAACAATGGCATTTGCAGTGCTTTGCACAAGTCGCCTCGCATAAATATTAATTTTTATGCAACAAAAGCAGCCGCAGCAGCAACGGCAGCCGTGCAGCAATGCAACCGAATGGAGCAACAACAACAACAGGAACAACAATGCAACAGCAGCAGCTAAAATAACAATAGCAACAAGCGTCGTTTATCGCCTGCAAGCGCCGCAAAGTATGCAAGCGGTTTTTCACTTTGCTGCTATTTCTGCTATGCATATACCCTGTAGATGGTTGGCTAGTCTGAATGGAGCATGCTGTGCTTGCCTGATTCGTAGCTTAACCAGGGAAAATGAATAACCATAACTAGCAAAAGAATTATTTCCGACAACTATTTTCCTTATATATATATTTTGTCTTATATCTAAAGAAACATTATAAAAGATTTATTTAATATATTTATAAATTTATTTATATTTAAATATATATTATTTAATACTTGTTAGCTTGAAAATTCATCAGAAACAGCTTTAAATATTCCAATATGTTTAGTAATAGAAAATAGTCAAAAGCAAATCAATCAGACCCGATTAAAATAATTATCAAAACATCTGAATAGCATATTCAGCCGAGACTCCTATATTTGTATGCTTCTTACCTTAAAGAGTCTATAATTGGTGGAGTTTTCTAGGATATGAGAATGCGGACAATATCTGTTCTAAGATTGTCGCTTCCTGAGTAAGCACTTGCTTATGTGTGAACATTATTCTTCGTCGTGTGCCTTTAGTAAGCCGCAGCAAAGGGAACGGAGGTGGGAAAAGCAAAGAAGAGGGCAACAACAGTTTTTCAAGAAGTCGAGTGCGGAGGCAGCTGAGGCTGATCTGTAGCTGGAGCTCGACCGCAGCGGCAATGCAGCTGCATAATGTGGCATGTGGTTAGCATTAAAAATGATATGCAACATGAGCCGCAGCTGCTTGAGCGCGCCACGAGTGCGTGCGGGTGGGGAAGCTGTTGCATTTTGAGGTGCAGGCAGTCACTGACAGCCGCATGGCAATTATAATCCACACTAACAGACGCGAGCAGCCACTGAACCGCTCGCACACACTGAAACAGTAGCACGCACAGCCAACCGAGCGTATGTGGCTTAAGTGTGTTAACTGTAGCTCAGGGTGTAAAGCGGGCGGGGTGGGTCTTAGCGTCTGGGGCCGGGTCCGTAAGCAAAAGCAGCAGCTGCCACTGGCACACAATGAACACATCAACATGACACTGTCGGCCTGACAAAAGCTTAGCAGCCAGCTGAGTGGCAGTCAGCCCCAACCCAAAAAAAAGAAAAATTAGAAAAACGAAAAAAGAAAAAGAAAAAGGAAACATCAGACCAAGTCCATTCGCATATGTGCAGCACATGATTTCAGCTCCCCAGCCGTCTTCTGGGAGACATTCACACGCTTGACGCTTTTTTGATATCCGCTTCCGCTTACGCCTGCGCCGCTGCCTGGGCAACTGAGATTGTTATGTAACAAGCTTTTTATGTGATTACCTTTACCTTCTGTTAGTTTTACTATAATTTGGCCTTTACTTTTAACGAGATTGTTGCCAGATTTTCGTACACGACAGCACGAGTACATCCTCTGAAACTGAAACGTGCCGCATTCAAGCATAAAATGCAGGATGCCCCTGCCACAACTCCTCGCACTCGCATTCACATTCACATTCATTCAGCTGAGCTTGAGTACTCGGATGCGTATATGACTACTTGTAGTCGGATTTCTATTGTGCTGCATCTCCTGCTCACTTCCTCTTATGTACACAATAGCCAAAGTAGCCAAGTTATAATAACAAATTTTCAGGTTTCACGTTTTCAAAAGGGATTAAGCTGCAGATACATTTAATGAGACCTTTGTTATCATGGCTTAATCAACTATTAGAGTCCCTTCTGGAAACTCGACTAATCATAATTTCTTATAGTAACAAATTCGAAATTGAAAATAAGAACGGCAGCGAGACATCTATATGCTGTCTGGTCCGTTGGGCGTTAAAAACGGCTAAAAGAGTTCAAGTCTTAGTTTAAGATTTCTTCAAAAACTCATTCAACTCACCGGCAATTTTTGGTTAACGTTATCAGTAGGGAGGAGAAGACGTAAAAGCAAAAATGTGGCACTTGCTGAAAGAATTATTGCATTTACCGACCAACGAAATATTTTGAGTGCATCTACCATTGTTTCTTCGGCGTCTTTTGATTTCCAATCAAAATAAAATTTTTTCTTTCACTCTTTGACTTCTATAGTACTTATATAAGCAGACATAAGTTCGGCTACGCAAATGATTAGTTGCCCACAATATAGATTCAAAGTGTAAATTCCTAATGCAATTTTCATTAATACCTCATGATAATATTAATTTATTAATATTTATCTTCGCATAGTATTAATAATCTAAAATATGAAGTATTTCTGTAAGGAAAATATTGAATTATGGAATGTCTCTGTCTATATAAATTTATTTTCAGCTTTCATACGTTGCTTTTCCTATCACATTTGTACTCTGCTCAAATGTAAAGTAAATTTTCATTTCCGCCTTTTCACACATCGGTAACGTATTTCCGTGACGTTAAAAAATCAAGAAAAGTATTTTGATACGCCTAGCCCATTTAGTGGCAGGATTGTGAATAGAACTTCGGGCCTTGATCGCAATTTCAGAAGTGTCTGTTGACATTGCCTAACCATGTCGCAATTTGCGCCGTTCATCAAACCTTACATCGAGTACAATCAGTTCGGCTGGGGTCCCTGCGATGTGTCCGAAATGGAGGTGCCCTACCAACCGTTCTGCAAGAGCGATCGCCTGGGCAAGATCAGCGACTGGATGCTGCCCGTGCAGGACAAGAAGTACACCAACAAATATACCTCGACGTTTGGCAGCAACAACAGTCACTACGCGTACTTCCACGAGGACGACGATGCAACGTTCCACCTGGTCGACGGGGGCAACCCGCGTGCTCTCAAGCCCTACCAGCGCAATCGCTATCGGCCCAATCAGCGCAACAATGTGCGGGTCCACGGCCGAAATGTGCGTGGCAATGCGACAACCGGTGGTGGTCAGGGTGGCACAGGTGGTTCTGGTGGTGCCGGCACTAGCAACAAGTACGGTAAAGGGCGAGACATGCGACGTGGGTTTACGGGCCGCCGCTTCATGCGCAATCCCCCGGTTCGTCTGCGCGAGAGTTCCGTGGTTGTGCGCTCCGACTGGGTTTCCATAGAGGAAATTGATTTTCCTCGGCTGCTCAAGCTCTCGCTGCCAAATATTAGAGATGGCAACGACGTGGTTACCTGCGGCACTCTGGAATACTACGACAAGCAATGCGATCGCATAAATGTGAAGAACGAGCGGCCGCTACAGAAGATCGATCGCATCATCAATGTACCGGGCACCATCGACGATCCGATCATACGGCGTCTGTCCAAGACAATGGGCAATGTGTTTGCCACGGACGACATTATTGCCACGCTGATGTGCTGCACCCGTTCCAATTACTCCTGGGACATCGTCATCGAGAAGCTGGGCACGAAGGTCTTTCTGGACAAGCGCGACAATGCGCAGTTCGACTTGCTGACGGTCAATGAGACGGCATTGGAGCCGCCGCAAGATGACGAGGGCTCCATCAATTCGCCGCAGAGCCTTTCGCTGGAGGCCACACTGATCAATCACAATTTCAGCCAGCAGGTGCTTAAGATTGGCGAACAGGAGCCGAAGCACAAGTTTGACGAGCCAAATCCCTTCGAGGAGCCCGGCGTGGAGCTCGCCTCCGTTGCCTATCGCTACAAGCAATGGCAGCTGGGCGACGATGTCGTGCTCATTGCTCGCTGCAAGCACAACGGCGCGGTCAAGTCGCCCAGCGGCGAGGTGCAGTTCGTTTCTATCAAGGCGCTCAACGAGTGGGACTCAAAGGCGGCTAACAGTGTCGAATGGCGTCAAAAGCTGGACAGCCAGAGAGGGGCCGTGCTCGCCTCTGAGCTTCGCAACAATGCCTGCAAGCTAGCCAAGTGGACCGTGGAGGCGGTACTCGCCGGCTCCGATCAGTTAAAGCTGGGCTACGTCTCGCGTGTGAATCGTAAGCCATGAAAGGGTTTCATTGTGATATAGCCTATAACACTCTCGATTGCAGGCAAGGATCATCTGCGCCACGTCATCCTGGGCATGCAGCAGTTTAAGCCTCAGGAATTTGCCACACAAATCAATCTGAATATGGATAATGCTTGGGGCGTGCTGCGTTGTCTGGTTGATATTGTGCTCAAGCAGCCGGACGGCAAATATCTGATCATGAAAGATCCGAACAAGCCCATGATACGCCTATACGACATACCTGAAAATGCGTTCGACTCAGAGGGCAACGACGACGAGGAGACTAGCGAGGATAGACCTTTCCTAAAATAATTAAATTTCCATTAACTCTTAAAGATCTGTTTCGTTTTTGGTTATATATATATATATAATCTAAGTTTCTGTTTGAAAAATAAAAAAAATATTGTTCGGGGAAAATTGAAACTTAATGTTTATATTTATTTTAGTTCCGCTAGTTTTTAGTAAAATGCTTTAAGCTCATGTGAAGCTGCTCGAACCAGTGTAACATAAAGAATGTGCAATACTCATGTAGTTCAATTGATTTTATTTCTCTCTGCGCTCGAAACATAACTAATCAATGGATATTATTTACAGCATTTGAATACAACGTATATACATTCATTTTGCTGTTATTGTTACTGCTGTACTTGACTGATAGTTACCCTCGAGCTGTGAATCCAGATAAATGAGCTCCTGACAGCAGCAAACAACAAAAATGGCAACTGCGCTCGACTGGCGCAGAACAATGAAAATAAATACAATTTAAATTGAGTTTTTGACCAAGCACATACTCACGCACAACATATGTTAGCTTATGCTCATCGTTACCCCCCAACACCTACATGCAGAAGCCCCTCGAGATGTGACAAGAGTCACAGTTATTTGATGATAACATGTCCGCATCAATCATTGCGGTTCTGCATACAAAGAAATGCGAAATGAAACCAAGCTAAATAAATGTACATTGTCAAATGTGTGAGAGTGTGTGTGTGTGTATTTGAGAATGACATTTGACATTGTCGCACACACACATACGCGCACACACACAGACGCAGCGAGTAATTGAGCTCAGGACATTCGACTGTTGTTTAGCTCCCCTTTGCCTAGCCCAACAATAAATCACAAAACGACATCAATCAATGCAAATTCCGTAGCAATTTCATTAGACAGAAAGAAAAAATTCGTGTTGTGTTGAAATTTTAATTAAATCTACAATTTAATTTGGCATCTAATGCAATTGCATTCAAATTAACAGCCTAATTGATAGCGAGCCCTTGGGAGCGCAGCCCTTGCGCTGTCAACTGAGTTGCTACATTCAACTGGTTTTCAACAAAATAATCATAAAAACATAAACACAAACATTTAATTGAGTGAACAGCTTGTTACTTAATTTCATTTAAAACGCTTAATTGCTTGCGAAAATGCCCACTGGCATTGCAAAAACATATTTGATTTTTACGCAACTATATAACAGATTTACCAGCTGTCAGATATTTTAATTAATATTTCTATAATTAATTGTTGAGCTTTAAAATAAAGGAGCATTAAGTTTGATTTTTGATGTGCATATATTCAATAACTGTAAAAGCTAGAGTTAAGCTATTGTGAGTGAGTAGGCAGATCGATTCTAGCTTAATCGACTTTTACTTAACGCAATGTTACCTTCAAGTCTCATTTACTATTCCAATTAAAACAGGCATGCATAGAGATGTACGAGTGTTAACCAAAAGTATGTCAAATGATAAAATGCTAAAGCATCTATTCTGAGCTATTCTGACATAAACCTCGAGCTATTCTACCAATGAGACTCTGGGAGCGACCAGAGCTATATTAAGCATACGCAGTGTTGCCTTTTATACAGTTTCAGTATTTGTGACAAAGTATATAAAACGTAGCAGTAAAAAACGTAAGTGTTATTCAATTAAAACATTTTGTTTGCTAAATCAACATGTCCGGGGCAACTGCAAAATGCCTTTGGTTGATGGTTGCTAGCTTAGTTGGGCGTGTGTGTGTGTATCTGTGTGTGTATGTGTGGGGCTGCCCCATGGAAAAGTTGCGCGCTTGGTTAGCTGCCTCCCTGTTTGGCCAGGGTAGGGCTGCTGCATTTCAAGGTCTGCGCTTGGCTAACCACGCCGTTGAAAGGCGTTTAACAAACTGCGCACTTGGCACTGCGGCCTGTGGCAACTCCGAAGCCAGCTCAAGTGCCGCCTCAATGCAAAACTTTGTGAGCATTTTAACGCACAGGCATATCCAAAGGGATCCTGGGGCGGGGCACTCAACCGACGGCATTTGCATATGGAACCGCAAGCTCACGCTCGACGCCCGACGGCCGACGCCGGAGTGCGGGATGAAAAGTTAAGCGTTGAATGAGGGCGACAAATTGCAAATTAAACTCTTTTGCATTTTACACACATGAAACTAGTTGTAAATAAAAATGCGCACAACAACTTTTGCCCACAACTGTAAATTGAATTTGATTTCAATTCTGCCAACAGCCCCACGACAAAGTCTCCAGACTACAAAAATTTAAGCCAGCGGCCATTTAAGCGTTTAAGCTACAAATCTGTAAAATGTCAAAATCAAGCATGCAGCCACCTCCCTCGCCTCCTGTTAAGCTGAAAGCTTCGTAAAAAAGACCCTTTAGTGCGCTGCTTCTACGAAATTTGAAAAAGAGTTTAGCATCAGTTGAATGTAAACTTTTTGAATCTCCCTCTCTCTCTCTCGCTCTGGCATTTGCTCTGGCCTTTGGCATATTTAATTTGGCGACTTCTGTCAGCTTTTGGCTTCGCTTATTTTATTTTTTTTTTATTTGTGCCCAAGACATTGGTAATGTCAATTTTTCCAAGCGCTCGCAACTTTTCAAACGCAGCTCATTTCAATATAATTTGTCACAAGAAACTTATTTCCTTTGCAAAAGTTAGCGCCAAAAGTGAAGGTGTAGCAAAGCTGGGCGTGGCAGTTCGCCTTGCTAAATTGTCGATTGATATTGGCAGAAGGTGGCCACTTAATGGTTTGAAAAGTGGCTTAAGGTATTTGGTGGTTTTGTTTTTCCTTCCCCCGCGACAAGTCGGAGACAGAGAGTGAGAGACAGGCCTTAAATATATTATTATATTGCATTATATAATAATATTAATAAATATATTATTAGATCTGTAAAGGTAGCCTTGAAAATATAGATCTTTGGCTCCATTTAAACAGATATAATTAGTTACATATTTTATCTTATATTTATGTTTTTCTTTATAAAATATTTGTAAAAAAATTCGTTTTTCCTCTGCCTCCTGTGAGGATTGAACTCACGACCCCTGGTTTACAAGACCAGTGCTCTGCCACTGAGCTAAAGAGGCTGCTTGTAAGACCGTTCCGAATATCTCAACATATTGGCACTGCGCTGCAGCTCACTCAATCGATCTGCGATCGCCGATAAAAAAATGTGTTACACAAGCTCTGAAACAATTGTTTGAACAGTTGTTTTCAAAGATAGCTGGCAACATTAAAAAAAAAAAACAAAAACAACTGTTTGCTGTTAAAGAAATTAATGAAGATAACGAGTGATATTTGTTGATCACATTTATGTCTTAAGCTGATTGATTGGTTGAATGACTCCAGACTGAGACTTTAACTGAAAATTAACTGAAAGCAATTTCGTGTGAAAAATATTATAATGATTAACATTTGTGTGTGCTTGATATCAAAATGAATTCTTATATGTATTTATATTTTTAATTTTACCATAAAATTCCTTTTCATATTTTATCAGAACATAAATGAAGCCATTTTAAGCCTTCACTTAAGCATTTGCCATGCCAATCTTAAATTCATGCAGAAGCTGGCTTTAAAATGAGGTTGTCAAACCACATGAAGTGAAGTGACAAGCGATTTTTACCGTCCATTTGCAAATCTGTAACAATAGTGATAATTTTTCTTAACCAACCCAAATAAAAAAGGAGAAAAATAAAACTTTGCCCAACATTTTGACAAAGTTTTTGGGACGCTCAAATTTTATGTTCAACGCGCAAAGTTTTGAAAAATGTTGAAAAATATTACAACAAAAAGAAAATGTGAATATAATTCGACAAGCGCATGCAGAAGGCGTGGTGGTGGCAGTGGATGGAGCATGGAGGGTCTTGGTTGCGCCAGCTCAGCTGCTTAAATCATTCATATTCAGTCACACCCTCTGCAAAATCATTGCACTGACACTCGGCACAATGGCTGCAAAAAGTTTTCAGCCAATGGGCGGGCGCCCATTGCATGATGGCCTAAGAATTATCACCCGCCAGGGCAGGAAATCATTCCTGCTTTCCGGTTGCGTCTCCGACAGATTTTCCAGCTAACGGCAGTTCGCAGCTTCTTATGGCCACAAAACATTTTTCATAGCTGCCGTCGCTGCTGCCGCCGCCGTCACTGCTGCTGCTGCTGCTGCTAGGACCTCCAGCTGGCAATTGAGTAACTTCTGTTCTACACATTTCTAATTCATTTTTCCCCCAACTTCCTGCCTCCCCAACTTCACCTTCTGGCTCTGCACTCGGGCTGCATTTGGCCAGCCTTCCGGCCCTGTCTGCATTGGCCCATTGACTGGCTTTCAGCTGGTTTTGACTGGGGGTCAGACTGTTAGCCAGATGGCCTGAACGTTCGCAAATCTCAAATGAAATTCATTGAATACTTGTCAAAATATTCCATTCGCAGTTCGCTCAATGCTCGTAATTGGATTTTTGTTCGTGCCACATGTGCACTTTGCACTTTTGAATAATTTTACACGCAATTTTCGAGAGATTCTTTTAGTGTTTTTTCCTACTATTTTTGTTGTTGGAATGGGGTAATGTTGCGCTCTTTCAATTGCAAATCCGTTAAGTCATCGAGTGCCAATATTGCAATCCAGAAGTAATTGAACTTACACTGTGCCAAGTTCAAGCCAAACACATTTTCGATGGAAGTTTTGCACTCAATGTGACAAAATTAAAAGTCATATAAACTAGTTTGATTGATCTTTGAAATGTGTAAGTGTAAAGAACACAGTAAGCCAGAGAAAAGCTGAATCTTTGATGTCTTAATCTAAGAGCTAAAGAATTTTCAATTCATTTCAGTGAATATTGGTGATTTTAGGTCCATTAGTTTCAGCTTACGGCCTAATTTTTTTATATTTTTTTTATCATCATTTTACTTATCGGCACTCTAAGAGAAACTCTGCTGGCAAAATGCGAAGACCAATTTCTGCTTTGCCTCTCTTGTCATTTAGCTTGAAGAAGATCAAAAAGCAAACCTTGTACATTCCACGTCATCTGATATGGTGATTATGCCAGGCAGGTCTTTCTTGTGTTTTTTCTTGGCTGCTACAAATTGAGGTAAAAGAAAATCAACAAGTTGCTGAACTTCAATGCACACCGTTGGAATATTTTAAGCTCGACGGGC